TTAATTTGGATAAATGCATTTTGGTAAATTAAACAAGGCAGGACTTATACAATTAATGGTATTGCCCTGGGTAGTGTTGTAGAACATACACCTAGGGGTTCAGGTACATGATTCTTTGAAATTTGTGTCTCAGGTAGACAGGGTGATTAAGAAGGTGTTTAACACACTTATCTTCATTTCTCAGACCTTTGAGTATAGGAATTGGGACATCATGTTGAGATTGTACAGGACGTTGGTGAGGCCTGTTCTGGAGTACTGTGTACAGGTCTGATCACCCTGCTATTGGAAGGATATTATTAAATTGGAGAGGGTTCAGAAAAGATTTACCAGGATGTTGCCAGAAATGGAGAGTTTGAGTTATAAAGGTAGGCTGGGACTTTTTTCACTGGAGTGTGGAAGTTTGAGGGGTGACCTTATAGAGATTTATAAAATCATGAGGTGCTTAGATAGATAATAGCAAGGATCTTTAATAGCAAGGGAGTTCAAAAGTAGGGGGCATATTTTTAAGGTAAGAGGAGAAAGCTTTATAAAGGACCTGAGGGGCAACTTTTTTTTTTTTTACACAGAGAGTAGTTCATGTGTGCAATGAACTGCCAGAGAAAGTGATGGATGCAGGTACTGTTGCAACATTTAAAAAACATTTGGATAAGAACATGAATAGAAAAGGTCTGGAGTATTATGGCAAGCGCAGGCAAGTGGGACTAGTTTGGTCTGGGAACATCGTCGGCAGTCACTAGTTGGACTGAAGGGTCCGTTTCTATGCTCTATGACTCTATGTAGATCTGGCTCTGTGACCAGAAGCTCAACACCTGCCCTCTGATTTCCACTCACTCACAAGCCTCTACACTGACCGCAGAGATCATAGAAGTCAGATGAGAACAGGGCCAATATACTTGCTGAGTCTCCTTTGAGGAACAATATCTTTTCAGAAAGCTGCAATAATTGAGAGGATTGTGCTGATACTCACGTCAGTAATTTTTGTTACAAAGACAAATGCCCCCATGGGGTCAGGCCAGGCCAGCTGCAGCCAGAAGCTCTTGATCTGAGTGAAGCAAGTCACTACATCGACAGCCGAACTGCTGTGCTTCGACAATGTGTCAACAGGTTCGAACTGGAAGTTAAATAAATGCACAAACATTCACCGCTATTGTCAACTTAGAGAGACCATTCTGAGAAAAGGTTACTCAACATCCTCTGTAAAACCTCCCCTCTCATGATCTGTACCCACACACATTTAATACAAGAGATTTTCGTGAGTTAAATCAACTGACCCAAGTATTCTGCCTTGTCCCCTCACTATATCAATTACTGTCACTACAGTACAATTACTGATCATGCCTAAATAGAAGAGGAAATCACGGAGAATGAGCCTGCAACTTGTTAACATGCTCAACTGGCAACAGAGGGTCATTGGGTCATTTACCTGATCCACTGACACTGCCCTCGTAATACGTTCACACGACTTTTCGTAAACAATTTGGAGCCATTTGTTAATGGATGTCTGAAACCAATTGTGGAAATTTGTGAGTGCCAGAAGTTGCGAGTCCCTGGAGAGGATGGGAAACAAAACAGATTTAGAGTCACGGTGGGATCAGGTGTGTTAGACCACTCCCTGGCCACAGGATCCAATGTATTAGACCACTCACTGCTTATAGGATTCAGTGTATCAGACCATTCCTTGCTTTATGGGATCCATTGTGCTAGATCACTCCCTGCTCAATGGGATCCTGTGTTAGACCAATCCTTACTATTATGAAGGAAAACAGAACCTGCATTTAATATCTGCTCAGAACATGCAACACTCCCTCCCTCAGCACTGGACTTTCAGCCCCTGGTGAGGTAGACCATTTAGAACAGAGACAATGAGAAATTTCTTCACCCAGAGAGTGGTGAACATGTGGAATTCCCTGCCACAGAAAGAGATTTGAGGCCAAAATATTCAATGTTTTCAAGAAGGAGATAGATGCAGTTCTTAGGGCTAAAGGGATCAAAGGGTGGAGTGGGGTGAAAGCAGGAACAGGGTACTGAATTGGATGATGAGCTGTAATCAAATTGAATGGTGGAGCAGGCTCAAAAGGTCAAATAGCCTAATTCTGGGACTATTTTCAATGTTTCTAAGAAGAAATACTGCTTTACACAGTGAGTTGTTCTCATCTGGAATGCATTGCCTGAAAGATGGTGGATGCAAACTCAATCGTAGCATTTAAAAAGATATTGGATAAATAACTGCAAGGAAAAAAACTGGCAGGGCTATAAGGAAAGGCAAATAAAAATGTGGAATAAAAACCGAAAGAACTGCAGATACTGGAAATAGAAACAAAAACAAAAATTGCTGAAAAAGCTTAGCAGGTCTGGCAGCATCTGTGAAGTGAAATCAGAATTAACAGTTTGAGTCCAGTGACCCTTCCTCAGAACTCATGGTAGCCAGGAAAATGTTTTTTATGCAGAAGGTAGAGTGGTGAAGGGGTAAGGAGTAAACAATAGGTGGAGATAGAGCCTAAGGAGAAAGAAGAAGTTATGCAGACAAAGGAGTGGATAATGATTAGCCTCAGAGAATGAATAGCTACTAATGGGGACTATTAGTAGCTAACAATGGGTTGTGTTTAATAGCAGACTATGTGATAACAAGGCCTGGTGGGTTGGGGTAAGGACAAGGGAGAAGGTGCCTCAAGCCCTAAAATTGTTGAACTCAATATCGAGTTCAGAAGGCTGTAGAGTTCTCAAGCAGAAAATAAGGTGCTCTTCTTCCAACTTGTGTTGAGCTTCATTGGAGCACTGCAGCAAGCCAGAGACAGAGATATTGGCCAGGGAATAAGGTGATGTTTTGAAGTGGCAGGCAATTGGAAACTCAGGGTCTTTTTGCAGACAGGACATAGATGTTCTGCAAAGTGGTCATCCAGTCTACACTTCGTTTCCCCAATGTAGAGGACACCACATTGTGAGCAGCGAATGCAGTAGACTAGATTGAGTGAAGTGCAGGTACATTGCTGCTTCACCTGAAAGGTGTACTTGGGCCCTAGGATACTGAGGAGGGAGGAAGTAAACAGACAGGTGTTACACGTTCTGTGGTTGCAGGGGCAAGTGCCATGGGGTTGTGGGGGCACAGGAGGTGTTGGAAGTGAAGGAAGAGTAGACCAGGGTGTCCCAGAGGGAACGGTCCTTGCAGAAGGCTGACAAGGGAGGGGAAGGGAATATGTGTCTGGTGGGGACATCCTGCTGGAGGTAGTGGAAATGGCAGCAATGATCCTCTGGATGTGGATGCTTGTGGGATGGTAGGTGAGGACACGGGTGACCCTATGTGGGAGGGAAGAGAGAGGCTGAGGGCTAAAGTGCGGGAGATGGGTCACACCTGCCTGAGGGCACTGTCAACTACTGTGCTGGGGAATCCTTGGTTGAGAAAGAAAGTGGACATTTTGGAGGCCCCCTTGTCAAAGTCGGCATCAACAGGACAAAAGCAATGGAGTGGGAAATTGGCTCTAAACAGCTCTACCAAACAAAGGCACACTGGATTGACTGGCCTCTTTCTGTGTTGTAAAATTCTGTTCTTTTCTGGGGACAATCCAGTACATTGGTTTCAGAGTCCAAGTCGTTGTACAGAGAATTGCTCAAGTCACCACCCAGCTGTTTCCACACTTGCAAGTTCTTCCGGTCCTGGCTCTTGAATTCGGAGTTTGAAGTAATTGTCACAATGCACCAGGGCTGGTCTTAATTTTTTATGGTCTCCATTCCTCTCTCCATTGCTACATAACCCATCGCTTCAACTTTACCTTTAGTCACTCCTGATAATTCCTGCTCAGTGACTGATGTCTTAATTCCATTCTCTCGGGCTACTTTAAGGTGAGTAATTCTAGCTTCTGTTGACTCACTTTAATTGAAGGTACTCCTTGAATTGTTTCAGCTCTTTAAGTGACAAGTACAGCTCAAACAGAGTCTCCCCCATCTGTTGGGTCATTTGTGACCTCTCCTGTTCCATGGTTGTCCCCAGTTCATCCATCAGCATGAGAACATCATCTGCGACCTGCACCAAGCAGACAGTTTTAAGGAAATAGATTGAGGCAACAATCACAAATCCTGGGTTCAGGAGTGGGGAGAAGACAATTCCAGTTAGATCCATGATAAGCAGGTAATCCTGCATACAGTCTTAGATTCACTCTTCCCACCACATTGAGGACACTGCAATGAGGGAGAGACCTATCAGCAACTAAGATGTTCTGATGAGGTGCTGCAATTAAGCTGGTCATTCAGAGGCTGATTGAGGGGGACCAGTCCCCACATTCCAGGAAAAGCTGCTGAACCTGATCATTGCCCTGATTCAGCACACAATGAGTTCCCAGTTGTGGCTGGACAATGAGCATGAGGTTGGGGTTATGGCAAAGGGGTTGGGCAAGGACGCAGCACAGGAAATGTGCTCAGGGTTTAGAGGCTTACATATGATGAGGGTATGCAAAAACTCTGGTGATTGAAGACTCACACATAATTGATTGGAGATTCTCAAACGTAATGGAGGCTTGATGTTTTTGGAGTTGAGTCTCTGGCATTTAGGTTTGGTGGGGAGGGTGCTCCAAGAACTCACTCTCAGAGTCAAATAAACAATCTCCTTACCAGTTTCTCCAGCTGTTGGTAGGCAATGCTGAAGTAATCAATCTTCAAAATACTGGAAAGAGACAGAAATCATTCCAAGTGGATGAAAAACAGCTGCTCAGTGAAGTTACAACACACAACAGGAACACAACCAACAGAATGTATTCTTATGGCCTCTCTGGCTTACACCACCTCTTTGCGAGATATGGGGTAGTGGGGTGGTAGTGGGGTGGCAGGATACTTAACATTGAGCTCAATTTCCCATTCCATCAAAACGCAAGAATTTGTACAGCCAGAGGCCTGGTCAGTCTTCCACAACTGCAATCTCAGCCCTGTCAACCTTCTCACATTCTCTCTTCTGTCCCCTGCAATGAGTTACAAATTGAAGTGTGCACAAACCTAAGTGATGACTCCCATTGGGGTTGTCAAACAAGTGAGTGAGCAACCCAGCTCTTGTGTAGCACCAATGTGATGCCTAGTCTGTGACAATCCCTATGACCTCAAACAATGTTTCCTAAGTATTGTGTCCTAGAGCCAATCATTTTCAGCAGTTTCATCAATGATTTCCTTCCATAAATGGGAATGTTTGCTGATGATTGCACAATTTCTGCGCCATTCGTGACTCTTTAGATACTGAAGCAGTTCATGTGTATATGCAGCAAGACCTGGACAACATTCAGGCTTGGATTGTTAACTATTTCAAATACCAAGGAATGTGAAAGGATTGCTGCACTTTTTGAAAGTGTGTAACCTAACACTCATTACAAGTACTGTTTACACAAGTACTGTTCAAGCAGTAGCAAAAGCCTAGTTTGCAGACAATCTTGGTCAAGGGATGTGTATAATTGAAGTTTAGCTGGCAACAAGTAGCTAATTGGTCTGTGGACTAGCAACCAGTTATCGATGATGGTTGCCTTCTATCTGCCATCAATTAGGTGATTAGCTCCAGGGTACCAGAACAGCTTGGTGGTTTGAATGTTTTGGCAAAAGCAATCAGATCTTTGCGAAGGCAGAGCTGTCACTTTTCTCTGCAGTAAAAAGCATCTCAAGACTCATCTGCCATGATCATGATGAATGGTGGACCAGGCTCAAAGAGCTGAATGGCCTCCTATCTTCTATGTTTCTATGTTTCTACATAAGCCTGAAGATAACCAGTTTATTTCCCTTTCCAGTTCCTGCAAACTATGACTTTAATTGATATGCCAAACATTTTTATATGTGGGATCTGGTCACCCTGTGCCTCCTGCAAACAAGTGGAAGTATCTGGAGAAGGAAGATCAAAAAGCAATATTCTGATTGGCAAAAGGATATTCTCTATAAACCCTGCAGACAGGATTTTTAGAGAGACCACTAAACTGCCTGATTTTTTAACCTCCTTCAATTTTTTTGTTTCCTGTCTGTGTCTGTCTGCGTGTATGTGTGGAAGGGAAGTTTATAATGAGGTTGAAGTTTTAACTAGTAGAGTTATATGCTGATGGTTTACAATTGTTTGCCTAGAATCTATTTATTTGTAATAAATAGTAATTCTTGTTAAGGACAGGAAACTTGGTCCATGCTTTCTGTCGGTGTGGGTCTAAAAGACAGATAAATTGAGGAATTCCACATCCCTTTTAAATCATTTAACTTGTACGATGATTCCAGAAATAGTGGGTTTGATTTCCAGTACACTACACCAGTGGGGTATAAGAATACCATCCAGGACAAAGCAGCCTGCTGATTGACACTCCACTTTAAACATTCACTTCCTCCACCATAGGCAACACATTGGCAGCAGAGTGTACAATCTATAAGGTGTATTGTAGGAACTTGCCAAACTATCTAGAAGGACAAAGACAGTAGATACATGAGAAAAACACATCTGTAGATTCCCTCTAAGCTATACACCACCCAGACTTGACACGGTATCACCATTCATTCATTCTTTCTGAATCAAAATTCTGGAACCCACTTTGAAACATCACTGTGGGTTTATGCAACTCTAACAAAATTGCAGCATTTCAAGAAGGTGGCTAACTGTAACCTTCTCAAAGACAATTAGGGATGGAAAATAAATGCTGACCTGGCTAGTAATACTACATCCATTGGACAAGGGTTTAAAAATAGTGAGAGGTTGTAGATCTCATGAAACATTTTATAAGCAAATGTATAGAGGTGATTTACTCTCTCTGACACAGAGTGTTTGATCGGACAATGTTGAGCAATCTATACTCTGTGTCCATCTCTTCCTGTACCTGCCCTGGGAATATTATTAGAGACTTGGTATCCAGAGCAATGAAAGGTTTTATTTCCCAGCACCAATATCCTTAACCTATCTGAACAAAATAACTGTTACTAAAATGTAGGAACAAAAAAAATGTCAAATACCTGACAAATATTTGGTTGTACTTGTTTCGATCTTTACGTAGCTCTGTACAAACTGCATCAACCAGTTGTACCAGTCTCATCAGTTTAGTCAATTCAGACTGCAAAATAAAGTCAGCCTGAGATCAGTTTTGATAAAAAGTAATGAACCTTTCATCACCAAATCCAATTCACAGTCAACAATGTTGCAAAACCCAACACACAGTAAACAATGCCGCAAAACCCAACACACGGTAAACAATGCCACAAGACCCAACACACGGTAAACAATGCCACAAGACCCAACACACGGTAAACAACATGCAAAAACCCAATTGAGGATCAACAACACGCCAAAACGCAACACACCAAAACCCAACACACAGTCAGCAACATGCCGAAACCCAATTCATGGTCAACAGCATGCCAAAACCCAATTCATGGTCAACAACATGCCAAAACCTAACTCATTGTCAACAAACCCACACAAACCCAACCTAGTAATCAATAACACTGCCAAACCCAACACATTGTCAGGAAAACTGAAATATGCATCAGTGTCTCTGAACTCAGCACATTGTCAATATCATTGCCTAAACTCAATTCACCATATACAGCCTCTGCACGCTCCTCACAGAGTCAACACATCATTAACAATACTCCCCAAATCCAACTCATCATCACAAAACCCCTCAAACCCAGCTCATCATCAACAACACCCCAAACCCAACTTACTGTAACAATACCATCCAGGACAAAGCAGCCTGCTTGATTGGCACCCCATCTACCACTTTAAGCAATGTTCTAAAACCCAACTTTCCATCAACTCTATCCCTTCCCAAATCACTGTAATCAGGAGTAGAAACATAGGATAATTTTCTCTTTCATTACTCAGACACATGAAATTGCTTCTATAACTATTCAGTTCAGTTCAGCTGATTTGTGGTTCAACTTGAGAACTTCTGTGTGTTGCTTGTTTTCACACTGATTACTTTGCACAATGGATCATGAACTCAGTAATGAATAAGACAGGCAGCAAGAACAATACTAATATGGCAAAATCAAATACTTCTGCTGATCTGCACAGATTACATTATTCAGTCACACATACCTTAAGTTTTGGTTTGAAGGTGTCACACATTTTCTTATACCATTCAGATGTGGATTTCTGTAAAATTAACAGAGAAAATCAGCACAGTGTCACTCATTGAAATGTCAAACCACAATGCTATTCAACAGAGTGTCTTTTTGTGCAATGCTGCTTGACACAATGCCACTTGATATAATGTCACTTATTCCTCTAAAATGCACTAAGAGGCAATCTCATGAAAATATACAAAATTCTTAAGGGAATAAAAAGTTGATTCCGTTTATGAGGTTTTCCCTAGCTGTGGGTCTAGAACCAAAGGACACAGTCTTGGAATAAAAAGGATAAATCATCTGGACTGAGATGAGGAGGAATTCACTCAGAGACTAGTGAATCTTTGGAACTCTCCACAGCAGAAGGTGGTGGAAGCTTTGACATTAAGTCCAAGATAGAAATTGACAGATTTCTAGGTACTAATATCACCAATTGATATGGGAAGAGTGCAGGATTTTGGTGAACAGGTAGATGATCAACCATGATCTAGAATGGCAGAGTAGGCTCGAGGGACTGAATGACCCACTTTTGCAGCTATGTTCCTATTCAATACCACTTAGCATAATGTTACCAAAGGTATTTTTAAATCTGAGTGAGAGTCTTCTGATTATACTGAATCCAATGTGTAATATACTCTTTATTTTATTAAGACTTAAAACTGTACAGTAATTTGTCTTAGGTCCAACACACAGTGGTCCTAGAGTTGGTTTGCCCAGTTCAGTTTGCCAAGAGACATTGGGACTATGTGTGCCTCCACACGTGGTCTAATCTGTATTTAATTTTTAAAAATTCTTTCAAGGGATATGGGCATTATTGGCAATTTTTCCCCCAACTCTAATTGTCCTTGAGAAGTTGGGGGTGATCCGCTTTCTGAAACTGCTGTTGTCCATCTGGTGTGGATGCATCCAAAGGGAGTTCCATGATTTTATTCCAGCAGTAAAGGAATGGTCATGTATTTCCAAGTCAGGATGTTGTGTCACTCAGAGAGGTTCTTGTGGATGGTGACATTTAAATCGATAGATGAAGGTTGCATGGTTTGCACAAATTCTGCAAAGTGTTTTATTTCTTTGCAGTAAAGATGTTGAGTGAGAAGTTCATTAGTGCCTGAGAATTTTATCTCCTTACCCTTTGATAACTTCTATTTCCTCATAGGTTCCATGTTCCTTTTATTTTTCTTCCATACATTCTGCATTTGTTCACATTAAATTCATTTCTTCTAACCAGTTCAAGTGCAAATTTCTGAAGAAGGGTCCAGACCTGAAACGTCAGCTTTCCTGCTCCTCTGATGCTGCCTGGCCTGCTGTGTTTCTCCAGCTCCACACCTTGTTATCTCAGACTCCAGCATTGGCAGTTCCTGCTATCTCCAAATACTGTTGCGTTGTTTTGATATGATCTTGACCTGCTCTAATCCAATTCTGTTCTGATTTATCAGTGAATTTAAGTAATGTTATAAAGCAAATCCATGTTGTTCATATATAAATGGATATATACAGATCACAGCTCTTTGACCATCCTTCAACTGTATCTTTTCTACCTTTATTATAATGCTGTTTCCGTCTGTTTAACCAGTTACTAATTTGTGTCACCCAGTGTCAACCTGCTGGGTTTAATTTATGGAGAAGTGTCTCCTCATCTGCTTTCTCAAAACTCATTGGGAAGTTGAGATTCACTACATCAAAGGAACTTGCCCTCCCCCTCATTAACTTGTGTTAAAAAGATTGGTCGGACGAGATTCTCCCTTCAAGGTCGTCAATGCAATTTATCATCAGATTCTGGCATGATTTCTGATTATTGACAATGAAGCCCTCACTGTACCTTCACCATGGCAACAATCTCCACATGGAGCTGGTCGTGTAAAGGACAGACCACTTTAAAGGCTTCCATGGAATAAATCTTCAATAAACACCTGAAAAATATTAAATCAAACACAGACACGAAACAGGTGAGAGATAGAGAGAGAAAAACAGAGAGAAAGAGAGATAAATAATTAGGGAGAAATAAAAATTAGGAGTTACAGAGAGAGAGAGGGAAAGAACGAGAAAACCCAAAGAGGAAAACAGGAATTGGAAGAAAGACAGGGAGACAGAGAAACCAAGAGAGGCGATATCAGGCAGGACAAAATGGAAGACAATGGGAGTAAGTGATGTAGGAGGAGTAGGGGTAAAAAAGATAAAGAACAGGAGTAAGACAGAAAGAAGTGACAGAGACGGAAATAGAGAGACAGACAGAAGAAGAGAGACAGAGAAAGAAAATTCTTAGTTCCAAAGATATTCTTTACTGAACAGTGTTTCCTACATTAACATTACAAACATATGAATACACAAACTAGAAGCAGGAGTAAGCCACTTGCTCCCTCAAACCTGTTCTTCCATTCAATAAGGTTATGGTTGATCTGATATCATTCCTGCCTACCCCCCAATAACCTTTCACTCCATTACTTATCGACCACTTCCTTTAAAACATTCAAAAACTCTGCTTCTACTGTCTTTGAAGAATAAAGTTCCAAAGACCCATGACCCTCTGTGAGAGAAACATTTCTTAACATCTGTCTTAAATGGACAATCCCTTAATTTTAATCAAGACCCCCAGTTCTACATTCCCCTACAATAGTGTCACAATGCCCTCAGGATCTTAAATGTTTCAATTAAGTTACTCCTTACTCTTCTAAACTGCAGCAGATACAAGCCTAGCCTGTCTAACCTTTTCCTGATAAGACGACCAGACCTTTCCCAGTATTAGTCCAGTAAACCTTCTCTGAACTTATATTCTTCTTGAAATCAGAAGACCAAAGCTGTACGCAGTACCCCAGATATAGTCTCAGAAATGCCTGGTACAACTGAAGCATAACCTTACTTTTGTATTCAATTCCCCCTGTAATACACAGTACATTTGATTAGCTTTCCTCATTACTTGCTGTACCTGCATTCTAATCTTTGATGATTCGTGCAAAAGGATGCCAAAACCATCTGCACCTCTGAGTTCTGCAACCTCTCACCATTTATATCATATGCTTGTTTTCTATTCTTCCTGCCAAAAATGGACAATTACAGATTTTCCCACATTATATTCCATGTGCCAGATCTTTGCTCACTCACTTCAACTATCCAAAATCCTTTGCAGCCTGTTATGGCCTCTTCATAACTTAATTTTCCTCCTTTATTTATATCATCAGCAAATTTAGTAATCATGTCTTAGGTCATTTATATGAATTGTAAAATGTTGAGGCCCTAGGACTGATCCCTGTGACACATCTACTTGTCATAACTTACCAAACAGAAAATGACTCATTTGCACCTACTCACTGCTTCTTGTTAGTTAACTAATATTTTATCAATACAAATGTGACTGCCCAACACCATGAGCTTTTATCTACTGCAATAATCTTCAAGGTGGCACCTTATCAGCACCTGAAACAGCTTCTTCAACAGTACCTCAAGAGAGTAGCTAAGGCACTCAGACCAGGAAGAGCTATGGTTCAATCATCAGTTTGTGCTGGTTCAGCTGATTAACAATGGGTTGGTGATAATTAATGGTAATGCCCGAGTTCAGAAGGTAAAAGTACAATTTGCCACATTTCTTTCTTCTGATCACTATTTAGTGAAGAGACGGAAGATAAAGCATGTGATGCCAGAAGGAACAGCATGTGATTCAGTTGTGAAGCCCTCCCAAGAGTTGGAATAATCTGCACATGCTAAAAGTCTAGGTCTGATTGGACATCTGCTAAAATGGAACTGAAATCCAATGACAGTCAATGCTTTCGAGAACAATTGGGAGACTCTCCTGTGTGATGCACGTGGACCAACATACTCATGTCTTGAGCAAGACTCAGTTGTCTCAGTCTGTCCCAGTTCAGTGTAGGTCAGTTTTGTTTCGCAAAGCTGAGTCTGAGCTTGCCTGGCTCAGGTTGGCCTGTCCAAGCTTGGTCTGGTCTTGGCCCTATTCTGCCTGGCTTTGCCTGACTCAACTTGATGTAGTATGGCCTCGCTCAATCTGATCTGGCCTCACCTGACTCTGGATCCACTCTGGTCTAGTCTCACTCAGTTTGGCTCAGCTTGATCTGTATTACCTCAGCATCAGTTCTAGCTGTTGTAATGCCATTGGATGATTGACGGGAAAGACCTGCTTCATCCTCTGGAGCAACTCCCAGCTGTAGTCAATAAAAAGGTCAAAACTGTCACCCAGGAACTCCTCCTGCAACAAAACAAAGTTAAAGGAATAATATAACTACAATAACAATGACCAAGGAGACACTGGCCTGTGAGAAGTGGCCTCAGCTCTTAGAGGCTGCTGTAGTCCGTGTTTACCAGGAATAAATGGATGTGACTTAGGCTAAGATGGGTGTTGTTATATAGTGAGCAGCATTCCACCCTTTGCAGCACATGGGTTTTGTTTTGTTTTTTTGTTCAGGGGATGTCAGTGTCACTACCAAGGCCACCATTTATTACCCTTCAATTGAGTAGTTTGCTAGGTTGTTTTAGAGGTCAGTTAAAATCAGCCAGATTGTTGTGGGTCTGGAATCACATGTAGGCTGGAGCAGGTAAGAACGTCACTGAAACAGATAGGTTTTTAGGATGATGGCTACCCTGTTACCATCAGGCTCGCTTTTAATTCCTGAATATTATTAGATTCAAATGTAACCATCTGCCATGATTAGATTTGAATCCATGTCCCAAGCACATTAGCCTAGAATTCTGGATTAATATCCAGTTATATTATCACTACACCACTGTCAATTGATAAGTTTAAATCTGAGTTCAATACATTTTTGTTTGTTAACTAAACAAAAAATTAAGGGATAGGGGAAGGCTTGTGGGGCTAAATGGTCTTCTCCTGTTCCTATTTTATTTAATAAAATTTCTCACCTCCCAGACACCAACTAAGCGTAATTTGAAAAATACAGAAACTGGAATAACGTTACACAGTAATAAAATTTGACAAATTCACTGAAAAAAATGAGTTTGAAATCCAAACATAAAAGCTGCCACATGGTGCATTCTTAACATTTCATGTATTCAAAGTGGAAGTGTGTGAGAGAGAGATATGTGCACATGCACTCTCATTGCACACACATTTACAAGGTTCACACACATGCACATATACACAAAGATGCTCGCAGACACTCAAAAAAAAATTAGTGGCATAAGATTGTCAAAACTTGTGCTTTATTTAACAGACACACAGCCTGTCATAACACTGTTTAGAGTCACAGATGAAGGTTGGTAACTTGTGTAAAATACTGAAGAATGTCCAACCCTTGGAAACTATTAAAAGTCACCAATTTCCAGGGAGTAAACAGAACTGGGGGTAGGGGGAGTAATAGTTGCCACAGGCAATATTTAGTGACATGAACGTTTTACCTGGTCTTTGGTAAGAATACTAGTCTCGAACCTCTGATCCAGGTCCTCAAGGAGGTGGAGAAGGAAACCACAGTCCATAAAGCGGAACTGGTAGTGCTTGCTATATGCCTGCCACTCACTGCAAGGGGAAGAAATAAACACTTTATTTGAAACAGCTCTAGTTCATTTCCTCTCAATCTCTTCAGTCTACAGAGTGCTTGATGGGATGTTAGAGGAACCTTATATCTGATTCTATATCATCGTAATTGTACAACTTGAAAAGTTGATAGAAAACTCAGGTGACGGGTCAAATGATTGTTTGTTTTCATGTGTATGCAATGGAGGCTAGTCTTATGATTGTGAAGTGTTGTTACAACCCTCACTGACTTCTCCTTATTTGTACCATTTTTGGCTTGGAGCAGTGAACTGTGAGCTGAGAGCTGAAGGTGACTTTTGGACTGTGAGCATCAGCTTTTCTATTTTTAAGAAAAGAGCAGAACAGACAAACTGATATTTGTTTATGAAGCTAGACCTGAAGGTTAATTGCTAATTGATACTTGTTAAAAGTAATTTTTAGATGTTTTGACTCCAGAGAGGCATTATGCTCAAACAGATGGCAGATGTTTAAATGTTAATAGATGCCAATCAAAGAAAATGTTGAAACAAAACCAGAAAGAGAAACCAAAGTTTAAACTGGCTTTGAACTGTGTGTTTTGTCAGAAGATTTGTGGCTGCCAAAGCTACAGGAAGGAGATCTGATTGTTCTCTGGTTGTCCTCCCATTATCAATGTATTGAGAGATCAGAGAATAGAATCTCAGTTATAAGAACTAGATAAATATTCCTCAGAACCAACTAGAAGCTGTTTGCATTGACCAATATCTTTAGAAACCAAGCAAGGTACAACCCCATGTGTCTGTGATATTACTGATTGTGGACATTGCTTCAGTTGACTGGCCAGATACAGCTCATTTATTTTCCTTTTGATTTATCTCTTTACTATATGTTTGTTTGACTATCTATCTTTGTGTGAATGGAGTCTAGAATCAAAGATAATTGGGTTTAAATCATAGACATCAATTTGATTGCCTTGATGTTTAACTTCGCTGTGCTAAAGTTTCTGTGACATTAATAAATTAGAGTCATAGAGTTGTAAGCATGAAAATAGACCTTTCGGTTCAACTCGCCCAAGCCAACCGGATATCCCAAATTAATCTAGTGCCATTTGCCAGCATTTTGACCATATCCCTCTAAACCCTTCCTATTCATATACCCATCCAAATGCCTTTTAAATGTTGTAATTGTACCAGTTTCCACCACTTCCTCTGGCAGCTCATCCCATACACACACCACCCTCTGCATGAACAAGTTGCCCCTTTTGTCCATTTTAAATCTTTCCCCTCACACCTTAAACCTATGCCCTCTAGTTTTGAACTCCCCCACCCTGGGAAAAAGACCTTGGCTATTCACCCTATCCATGCCCATCATGATTTTATAAACATCTTTAAGGTCAGCCCTCAGCCTCCTACATTCCAGCGAAAATAGCCCCAGCCTATTCAACCTCTTGGCATAGCTCAAACCCTCCAACTCTGGCAACATCCTTGGAAATCTTTTCTGAACTCTTTCAAGTCTTACAACATCCTTCCTATTGCAGGGAGACCAAAATTGCACCTAGTATCCCAAAAGCGGCCTAACTAATGTCCTGTACAGCCGCAACATGACCTTCGAACTCCTATACTATATGCACTGACCAATAAAGGCAAGCATACCAAACACCTTCTTCACTATCCTATCTACCTGCAACTCCACTTTCAAAGAACTATGAACCTGCACTCCAAGGTCTCTTTATTCAGCAACACTGCCCAGGACCTTACCATTAAGTGTATAAGTCCTGTCCTGATTTGCCTTTCCAAAATGCGCACCTCACATTTATCTAAATTAAACTCCGTCTGGCACTCCTCAGCCCATTGGCCCATCTGATCAAGGTCCCATTGTATTCTGAAGTAACCTTTCTCGCCATCCACTGCACTACCAATTTTGGTGTCATCTGCAAACTTACTAACCAGACCTCCTATAGTCACATCCAAATCATTTATATAAATGACAAAAAGCAGTGGACCCAGCACCGATCCTTATGACACACTGCTGGTCACAGACCTCCGTTCTTGTTAATTCTTACGTTTAAGCTGGTACCTAGTAGCAGTTATTCACAAAGGTCTGGTATTGGTTATTCAAAAAGTCTGGTTAGGAAGCATTGGAGTCAATTTTGAGAGTCATTGAATGTTTTAATTTTACTGTGTTGCAAGAACATAAGAACATAAGAACTAGGAGCAGGAGTAGGCCATCTGGCCCCTCGAGCCTGCCCCGCCATTTAATAAGATCATGGCTGATCTTTTTGAGACTCAGCTCCACTTATCCGCCCACTCACCATAACCCTTAATTCCTTTACTTTTCAAAAATTTATCTAGCCTTGCCTTAAAAACATTCAGTGAGGTAGCTTCAACCGCTTCACTGGGCAGGGAATTCCACAGATTCACAACCCTTTGGGTGAAGAAGTTCCTACTGACCTCAGTCCTATATCTGCTTCCCTTTATTTTGAGGCGATGCCCTCTAGTCCTAGTTTCACCTGCTAGCGGAAACAACCTCCCTGCCCCCACTTTATCTATTCCCTTCATAATCTTATATGTTTCTATAAGATCTCCCCTCATTCTTCTGAATTCCAATGAGTATAATCCCAGTCTACTCAGTCTCTCCTCATAATCCAACCCTCTCAACTCTGGAATCAACAGAGTGAATCTCCTCTGCACCCCCTCCAGTGCTAGTATATCTCTTCTCAAGTAAGGAGACCAAAACTGCACACAGTACTCCAGGTGTGGCCTCACCAGGACCCTATACAGCCGCAGCATAGCCTTCCTGTTTTTAAACTCCATCCCTCGAGCAATGGCAGACAAAATTCCATTTGCCTTTTTAATTACCTGCTGTACCTGCAATCCCACCTTCAGCAATTCATGCACAAGGACACCCAAGTCCCTCTGCACAGCAGAGTGCTGCAATTTTTTACCATTTAAAACATAGTCCATTTTGCTGTTATTCCTACCAAAATGGATGACCTCACACTTATCAACATTGTACTCCATCTGCCAGACCTTGTCCACTCACTTAGACTATCTATATCCCTCTGCAGACTTTCAGTGTCTTCTGCACACTTTGCTCTACCACTCACCTTAGTGTCATCTGCAAATTTTGACTCACCACACTTAGTCCCCAACTCCAAATCATCTATATAAATTGTAAACAATTGAGGTCCCAACACTGATCCCTGAGGCACACCACTAGCCACTGACCGCCAACCAGAAAAACACCCATTTGCCCCTACTCTTTGCTTTCTACTGGACAACCAATCCTCTATCCATGCCAATACATTACCTGTAATACCGTGCAACTTTATCTTATGCAGCAGCCTTTGGTGTGGCGCCTTGTCAAATGCCTTCTGGAAATCCAGATACACCACATCCACAGGTTCCCCATTGTCCACCATGCAAGTAATGTCCTCAAAGAATTCCACCAAATTAGTTAAACATGACCTACCCTTCATGAACCCATGCTGGGTGTTCCCAATGGGACAATTTATATCCAGATGTCTTGTTATTTCTTCCTTAATGACAGATTCAAGCATTTTCCCCACTACCGAAGTTAAGTTAACTGGCCTATAGTTACCTGCTTTTTGTCTACTTCCTTTTTTAAACAGTGGTGTCACATTGGCTGTTTTCCAATCTGCAGGAACCACCCCAGAGTCCAGTGAATTTTGGTAAATAATTACCAGTGCATTTGCTATTTCCCCCATCACCTCTTTTAGTACCCTGGGATGCATTTCATCAGGGCCAGGAGACTTGTCTACCTTTAGCCCCATTAGCTTGCCCAGCACTGCCTCCTTAGTGATAATGATAGTTTCTAGGTCCTCACCTGCTATAACCTTCTTGCCATTAGTTTTCGGCATGTTATTTGTGTCTTCCACTGTGAAGACCGACATGAAATAACTGTTTAATGTCTCGGCTATTTCCTCATTCCCAGTTATTAAATTGGCCTTCTCATCCTCTAAAGGACCAATGTTTACCTTCGCCACTCTTTTACGATTTACATATTTATAGAAACTTTTGCTGCCTGTTTTTATATTCTGAGCTAGTTTACTCTCATAATCTATCTTACTTTTCTTTATAACTTTTTTTGTGGCTTTCTGTTGGCCTTTAAAGATTTCCCAGTCCACTAGTTTCCCACTACTCTTTGCTTTTTTGTATGTGTTTTTTTTCAATCTGATACTTTCCTTTATTTCCTTAGACATCCTCTCTCTGGCTCTCTCTTTTCCTACAGTTCTTCCTTATCACTGGAATATACTTCTGCTGAGCACTGTGAAAAATTGTTTTGAAAGTCCTCCACTGTTCCTCAATTGACCCACCATAAAGTTTTTGCTCCCATTCTACCTTAGCTAACTCCTCCCTCATCGCATCACAGTCTCCTTTGTTTAAGTACAGGTATAGGCAGGCTGATTTGATTTGGCCGTCTGCCTTTGTTTTAGAACAATGTAAAACCAACTCTGCCTGGCTTCTGACACCTCCAGTTTTATACAAAACATTACATGTTCCATTTCCCCAGTTTCTTCATCCAGGTGTCTTATGTTATCTACTAAACCAAAAGAACAGCAGATGCTGGAAATCAGAAACAAAAACAGAAATTGCTGAAAATTCTCAGCATGTCTGGCAGCATCTGTCGAGAGAAATCAGAGTTAACATTTTGAGTCCAGTGACCCTTCTTCAGAACTGTTCTACTGTTGTGCCACAATTTACACAGGCATTGTTTGTATTCCGCACAAAGCCAGCACTATGCTGCTGATAGTGTGGCTTATACACTACCAGCCTTGACTCTTTATATACATCATTTGTTATTCATTCATTCAATATGACTAAAGCTTTAACCCTTAACTAACTAAAGCTAATTTAATCCCTTCACTCATATTGTATCTGAAATGTAAGCAGAACACGTTGGAGAAAGTCAGCAGATCTGCTAGCATCTGTGGAGAGTGAAACAGTTTATGTTTCAAGTCCCATGAATCCTCTTCTTCAGAACTCAACAGTGCTGGAAACATAGAAACACAGAAGATAGGAGGAGGAGGAGGAGGCCATTCGGCCATTCAAGGCTGCTCTGCCGTTCTTTACGATCGTCCAACTCAATAGCCTAGTCCTGCTTTCTCCCCATAACCTTTGACCCCATTCGCCCCAAGTGCTATATCTAGTCGCCTCTTGAATATATTTAATGTTTTGGTATCAACTACTTCCTGTGGTAATGAATTCCCCAGGCTCACCACTCTCTAGGTGAAGAAATGTCTCCTCAGCTCCATCCTAAATGACCTACCCTAAATCCTCAGACTGTGACCCCTGGTTCTGGACATACCCACCATTGGGAACATCCTCCCTGCATCTACCCTGTCCAGTCCTGTTAGAATTTTATAAGTCTCTGTGAGAACCCCCTCATTTGTCTGAACTCTTGCGAAAACCATCCTAACCTAGTCAATCTCTCCTCATACGTCAGACCCGCCATCCCCAGAATCAGCCTGATATACCTTCGCTACACTCCCTTGAGAACAAAAGCATCCTTCCTCAGAAAAGGAGACCAAAACTGCACACAATATTCCAGGTGTGGTCTCACCAAGGCCCTGTACAACTGCAACAAAACATCCCTGCTCCTGTACTGGAAACCTCTTGCAATAAAGGCCAACATACCATTTGCCTTCTTTACTGCCTGCTGCACCTACATGCTTACCTTCAGCGACTGGTGCACAAGGACAGCCAGGAGGAAAAGTGAGTGTAACAGATCTTGAGGATGTCTAGAGCAAAAGGGTAGTAAAGGAGGTGTTTTGATATAAAAAAGATATTCATGATCGTTGTGGATAATTCAAATTAGTTAGCTTTGCTGAGAGCAAGCCCACACAAACAAGACATTGGTTGGAAGTGGGGGCAAGATTGTGGGTGTGGGGATAGGAAGCAGTGTAATCGAAATGGAGGACAGAGGTCATGTTTTTGAGCACACGTTGTGCCCTGAAGGCTGTAAACTGCCTAAGCAAAAAGTGAGGTTCTGTTCCTCCAACCCACATTGGTCTTTGTTGGAACACTGTAGCAGGCCTAAGATGGAAATGTTAGCATGGAATAAGATGGTGTATTGAACTGACAAGCAACTGGAAGATTGGGACCGCTTTTACAGCACAGTCAAGATACTCCACAAAACAGTCACCCAGTCTGTGCTTGACCTTGCCAATGTAGAGGAGGCCTCACTGTGAGCAGTGGACTGGATTGAAAGAAATACAAGTAAATTGCCGCTTCACCTTGAATGTGTTTTTGTGGCTTCGGATAGTGAGAAGGGAAGGGGAAAAGAAAGGTAAGTCTCACACCTTCAGTGACTGTATGGGAATGTGCCATGGAAGAATTAGAAAGTGTTAGAAATGACAGGGGAGTGGAGTAGAGTGTCACAGAAGGCAGAATGCTGACAAGGGAGAAGAGGGAACGATGTCCCAGGCAGGAAAAGGGGACCACGCAGCTAGTGAGGGAACCCCTGAGTGCATCTCAGTTGCAAACTGTTTTTCAGCCTTTGTGACTGTATGTGGAAGAAGTTGAAATCAAATTAGAAGTTGAAATGCAAATAAGTCTGAAGACAGAGGAATCAGACTAAATAAGAAAAAAGTGAGTTTAGCAAGTCTAAGTTGAATATAATTTGATACAAGGTGTCTGAAAAATACACTAGTCAGATTGAGGGCACAGATAAGCACATGGGTGTATAATATCATAGCAATGCCTGAGATTTGGCTGAAAGATGGGCAAGATTGTCAGTTCAACATTCCTAATTGTAGAGCAATAAGGCAAGATAGAATGGCATTAGAAAAGGAGAGGGAGACACAAAATTGATCGAGGAATTAATTAGAGCAGTAAGGAGGGATGATATCTTGGCGGAATCATCAAATGAGGCCCTATCATCAGAAAGTAAAAAACACAATTCTGGTTCTAATATTCAGAAATGAGCCCAGGCAATGGAGAGCATCTCAGTAGGGGAGCATTTTGGAATTAGTAGCCATAACCTGGTTAAATTTAGGATAGTAATGGAACAGTATAAGGATGGGCTGGGAATACAAGTACTAAATTGGTGAAAGGCTGACTTTATTGATACGATTCGGCCAAAGGGGACTGACAGGAATTATTTACAGACAAAACTGTGTCAGAGTAGTGGGAGGCATTCAAGGAGAAAACAGCAAAAATGTTCCCATAAAGACAAAGAGTGGAACCAAGACAAAAGAATCCTGTTTAAAGTATATAAAGGTTAGGATTAAGAAAAAAAATGCTTATGACAGATACTGAGGGCTCAATATGCAAAGTCGCTATGGGAGTATTAAAAGGTGCAGCTGAAGGGTGGTGGTGGTTGGTGGGGGGAGGGGTGCGGTGGGGTGAGGGGTGGGGCATGATAAAAAGGAAATTAGGAAAACAAAGAAAATGCATGAGAAAGCATTGGCAGGTAGAAAAGGAAAGCCCAAAGGGATTTTCTTTTCAACATATAAAGAACAAGAGAATATCTAGGGAAAGTGTAGGACCCATTTGAGGCATGGAAGTAACCTGTGTGAAGCTGAAAGACATGGACACACCATCATCAATGAATAATTTGGATTGTTCTTCATAATGGAATAGGAAGACATGGATATAGATATCAAGGTGGAGGACTTTGAAATATTAGAAGACACGGAGACAGGAGGTAACAACAGCTTTAGCAGCCTTAATAGTGGATAAGGAGGCTCAGATAAAATAAGATGTTTTCCAATCATCTGGGACTTTTTCAGAATCTAAGGATTCTTGGAAAATTACTACCAGTGTATCCACTATCTCTATGGCTACTTCTTTTAATATCCTCGGATGCATCCCATCAGGTCTAGGGACTTATTTGGTCTTTAGCCTCATTAGTTTCCCTACCATTTTTTCTCTAGTGATAACTTTTGTGTTTATTCCTCTTCTCCTTTTGCCCTTGATTATTTAGCATTTTTGGAATGCTAATAGTGTCTTCCACTATGAAGGCTAATCAAAGTATTTATTCAACTCCTCTGCCATTTCCTCATTCCCCACTATTATTTCCCCAAACTCATTCTCTAAGGGATGTTCACTTTGGCCTCTCTCTTACTGTTTATATATTTAAGGAAGCTCTTGCTGCCTGACTTGGTTAAACTTGCAAGTTTGCCCTCAAGTTTATTTTCTCCCTCTTTGGTACTTTTTGGTCATCTTATGTTGTTTTCTAAAACTTTCCCAATTCTCTGGCTTACAATTAATCTTTGCCACATTATATGTTCTCTTTTAATTTGATGATATCCTTAACTTCCATGGTTAACCATGGTTGGCTTATCCCCTTTCTGGAATCCTTCTTTCTCACTGGAATATACCTGCTGGGAGCCATGAATGATTTTATTAAACTTCTTCCTGTGTTCCTCAACTGTCTTTGCTGCTAAACTATTTGTTAAAAATTTCTGAATACCAACATGGTGAAAGTTAATACAGGAGTTGTACTCACACAGCTGTCTTCTGTAGAGGTGAGAGGTCAAGTTGCATGGCATGGTGGGCTAGAATGGTTACAGCATGTTTGCTGAGTTTGCCAGACCAGATGTTTTGGTCATCCTGTGGTGAAGGAGAGGTAACAAAATTAGTTGTTGGGCTGTCTCAAGTTTACTGTGGCGACAAGATGGTTTTCACTGTGATGATGGTGCCACTCCAAACCAGTGGAGTTCCCTTGCAGTTCCTGGATGCCAGAAACTCTGTGGCCCCTCACCCTGTGTCCATTCTATAGATGTGAATGAAGTCATTGAGTGGCAGGAGGCTTCTCCAGGTCAATAGAACCACAGGCAAATCTGATTCCCTCTGCAACTCACACACACCCCATTGGTCCTGTCTCCACAGTCAAGGGCATAAAGCAATATAACACAGATATCAACTCATTCAGCACCGATTGAATTTTGGACCACCCATTAACTATAGTGCTTTAATTATAAATATCATGTGAAACAACCAAGGATTTTTACATATGATGATTGCACAAAGGATTTAATTATAAATAAGGTATAGGAGTGTCAAAGATACCAAATAAACATCTACCTAAGCCAGTCACAGCTCCAACTGTTCTACTCTGTTATAATGAAGTAATACATACCTGGAAATCAGAGTGCTCCATCTCCAACAGTTGCCTCAGCAACAACTCATGGATTCTCATACCACACATCATCTTGCACAGCTCTGTATCTCTCTGTAAAACAGGCAACTGTGACAGCAGTCTTCACAACTCAGTTTATTCTACTTTCCTCTCTTCTTCTGAAATGCTGACTCTCACTGGGGTATATATTCCCTTGTCTCCTAAAGGTGCTGACTCTCACTAAGGTACAGGACCTTCTCCTGAAGGTGTTAATTCTCATTATGGTACAGGTCCCTTTGTCTCCTGAAAGTACTGACTCTCATTTGGGTACAGGTCTCTTTTCTCGTGAAGGCATTAGTTCACACTATGGTACAGGTTGCCTCCTTTCCTAAAGGTGCTGACTCCTACTGGGGTAAAGGCCCCTTCTTTGACATTTGGGGAACTTTTCAATTGGCAGGATTTGGCAATCTCTTACTTCAGTCAAGTGACTATGTTTGACAGGTGAATACAGACATTAGGTTCTCGCAAGATATTCCAGTGTAATTTCCTGTCCTCACTGTGGGGCGGAAGGCCTGCTGACTGGTTTCTGTTGGGTTTTGGTCTTAGCTGATTCGAATGGTCTTATTAAGAAGACTTGACAATACTTCAATAACTCAAGGTAAACCCTCTTCCTCTGCCTCCCTAAATATAACTGTGTGTGTGTCTTGTCCAGCCCATTACCTGTGACATGATCAGTGTCAAAATGAGGTGACAGTCTCCTTGCACTCGAGATGAGCTTGATCGAGGCTCCAGTTTAAACCAGCCGTCGATCCCTCCGACAGGAATGTCCTGACAATGGAATGGAAAGAATTCAAACATTTCTATAAGGTAATAGTTCTGAAAAGGTTAATGTTCATATTACATTGGCTCCACCCATTCTACTGATGTTATACAGAGTCTGTAGGTGGAGACCAGAAGTTCTACTCCAGCTTTTGGAGGGAGCAAATGTATCTGTACCAGCTCCCTAAGGTCTAACCAACTACACCTGACAAAATATAGTTATACTTATAAATAAACACTATAAATGTTCTTCTTACCTAAGAATAGTCCCTCATCTGTAGATATTCTAGGCTGGTATATCCTCCATCACTAATCACCGGATAGGCCCAAGACAAAGTAGGACTGGTGGCAGTTAACTACTTTAAACACCTGTTACCCAGTACCACATACTGGTAGAGCTGGTATGTGCCACAAGGTACCCACAATGGTCATGTGAAAATTCCAACTGCAGCCCAGAACCTAAGGTGAAGCCCGAGTCACAGTCTGGCCTTAGGATAAAGACCAAATATAAAGTTACCATAATCTACTCTCTCACCAGAGAGAGGCAACTGGTGGTGGTTTAACCTGAGGGTCACAAACCTCAGGGAAGGGGAGAGATGAAGAAGGAAAGTCCTTCATGATAACCTCAGTCAATGCAGGAATTGAACGTAGACTGTTGGCATCAATCCGTATTACGAACCAGTCATTCAGCCAACTGAGCTAACCAAGTGTGCAGTCAGATTGGAAGTAGTAGAATATTAAAAAAAAAACGGAAGTAGTAGAATATTAAAAAAAAAACAAGGCTCTTTAGTTGAATGCATAAAGCATTGATAATAGCATAGATGAACCCACATTATAAATTGGTTTAGATCTAATTGGCGTTACAGAGACACTGGGTGGATTTACAGGGGTTGGATTACTTGACACTCCCCAGGCCCTTCAACCTAAAATTTCATTGGCACTTCACTGATGTGAAATCTGGTTTCTCTGCAGTGATCATCCAAAACAGAGGGTAACTAAGGAGATAATAAGATTGAGGAACTTAAGATAATTAATGGTAGCATAGGAAAATGTCCCGGAGAAACCTAAGGAAGTAAAAGCTGAGAAATCACTAGGACCTGATGGCTTATATCTAGAATTACATAGAAATAGCTGGAGAGATAACAAATGCATCCTGATGATTTTCCATTAATTACATTAATTACTTCATTAATATTATTAAGGAAATCTTGATAATGCATTTAGAAAATCTTAGTATTATCAAAGACAACATAGTTTCACAAAATGAGAATAATGTTTGACAAATTTATTAGAGTTTTTTGAAGCTATAACTTGTAAAACAAATAAAAGGGAACCAGCATATGTAATATATTTGGATTTGCAAAAGGCATGTGATAAGGGGTGGCACAGTGGTTACCACTTCTGCCTCACATGGCCAGCGACCTGGGTTCAATGCCAGTCTTGGGTGACTGTGTGAAGTTTGCACGTTCTCACCATGTCTGCATGGTTTCTTCTGGGTGCTCTGGTTTCCTTCCACAGTCCAAAGATGTGCAGTTTAGGTGGATTGGCAATGCTTAAAAATTAACTTATACTATCCAGGGTTGT